GGAGCCTCTTGGGGGCCTCTTCGGGCTTCCTGATTATCTCTTGTCGGCCTCTTGGGGCCTCTGGGGAACCTCTTGAGGCCTCCTGCGAGCCTCTCGGGGCCGAGGTCTCGTCATGTCCGTTTGGGTTCCCCGTCAGGAAACGCTCTTGGAGCCGTCTTGGGGTCCCTTTGGGTCGTCTTGGAAGCGTTTTGGATGTCTTTGGGGTCCACTTGGGCTGTTCGGGGGCCCTCTTGGAGGCCTCTTGGGCCGTCTTGGGGCGATCTTGGGGGCCTCTTGCGCCATCTTGGAGCGACGGGGAGTGGAAAAGGCGAGAGCGTCCAATTTGTGTTTTTCACCAACGGAAATTTGGTGAATTTGGCCTCTTGGGGCTTTCTCGGGAGTTCTCTTGGGCGTCCTGGAGGCCTCCGGGGCAGTCGGGAGGGCGTAAAGGCGTGTTGGACCGATCGTTTGGCGATTGGGGACCCTCTTGGACCGTTTCCGGACCCCCCCCCCCTTCCGCGACCCCCCCCCCAGAGGGGGAGGGATTAAAGGGAAGGGGCTTCCCTTCGAGTCGATTACAACATTGCTCGATTTTTCTCTCGCTGACAAGCTTGAGGACGAGGGTGCAGGGAAAGGAGACGACGGAGACTACGGTTGATGGAGATTACCTTTCGAACAGACAAGCCCCTCACACACGCCGACAGGGTCGGCGGATTGTTGGGCAAGGCTTATTCAGGAAAACCAGCTTTCAGGTCAGAGTCTGAGCGTTCTCAGAAAGTCTGGATTCCAGGGCAGGCTGTGGAGATGTTCTTGGAGGTTCAGCTTCGTGTCTTCCCCCTTCCTGTTGTTTCTGTTTCTTTTCGGCCGCTTTCCCCTGTCGATTTTCCCGACCTAGGAAGACGATACACTTGCAGAATACGTGGTCTCAGGCTTCAGCCTGCTTACGAACACCGCCTGGTGTCTTGCTTCTGCTGTTCCGGTTCTCGTGATTCGATTATTCACCAAACGAGCCCCCAGCTCCTCGTCTGCGACATGCCTCGGGCTACGGCGCCTTAGCCGCCCTCTTGTGTTGCCCGCTTATCCGGCGCACCCGAGTTCGAGTTCGAGGAGAGAAGCACGTAATTAGACCGTGGCCAAGATGTCGCGGGATTTTGTCGGCGCCGATCTTAATCATGGTCTATAATGCCGGCCGTCGCCGACTCGCGAGGATTATCCACGAATTGTCAATGGCCCCGAGATGGACGATGGCCAAGATCGGTACTGGCGTTTCCGTGTGCAGTGTTGTTCATGGTCGCCCGATTCTTCCCCCACCAGTGGTGGTTGCCGTTCCCGTTGGAATGAACGACTTAGTGGTTCGTGCGATGGTGGTTATTGTTGCTTGCATGCGCAAGTAGAAACTACTCAAGCAGCCCGAATCATCATCTCGCAATCTGCATGGTGGTTGGCCAAGTTACGCAGAAGGTCCACGCACGACGCCCGCCCCGCTAAGCACCTTCTACGACTGCGAAAAAGTGATTTATAATTTGGGATTCATATCTACATGACCCAGACTATTTTTGCATACTGTTTCAACCACCAACGCCCCAGCCACCATGTCTGAAATCTGGACATGTTTGTGCATGAGGTGTGTGAAGTGCGAATTTCCAATGTACTCGAAGTTGTAGCTCATGCCGGTGAACATTCCCCGGTTGATCAACTTCTCATGCTCTCCGGGTGCCAGCGCGAACCCGACCTCTCTGTCGTTGTGCGGGGCCACGAAACCAGAAGCCGGTGGAAGCTTGAGCGCCCAACGGGCCACGGGGCGAAGGTTCGAGGGCCTGCCTTGTACAGTCGGGGCGCTGAAGAAGGAACCCTTTTCGTTGGGGAGGGGCTCGGTGTTCCTCGATTGTTTTACAGCTTGCCACGGGTTTTCCTGAGGTTTTTCATGGGAAACAGAAGTAGAACTTATGGAAAAAAGGGGCCTCGTTCCTTATTTAGGGTTCCTTAGGTCAACGCCCCGTCTGTATTGGTCATGGTCACCGCTTCGTTCCCCCCCACGAGTGAGTGGTGGTCGCCGCCTCCGCGTCGCCGTCGCCTCCGACCCCGCCAGGCAGCGGCGGGGCCCCCGACGCTGCTGCGGCCCAAGGGCAAGGCCCTCCCGACCGGCGAGGCCTTCGGCCCGCCGGAGGCGGGCAGCAAGGCCGCGGGGGGGGGCAGCGGGGAACCGCAGCGGCGCGCTGGCTTCGGGTGGGGGCTGCGCTCGGAGCCTGGGGGCTTAGTGGGCCCTGGAAACGACAGGGCCGTTTTTGTTGCCGGTTCCGTTTTGCCGTTGTTTTGCCGGTTCCGACGCCGTGTTTTCACCAGTTCCGTCGCCGTTTTTGGACCGGTTTCGGCTCCGGTTCCAATCCTGGAGCCGGTGCAGCGGGTCTGGCGCATGGAGGGGTCGGCGGCGAGAGGCGCCATCGTTCAGGAATGGTGCACCATCAGGGCGCGCGATGGCGTGAAGCTGCGCCAGGTTCGCGTCGTGCAGAGCGGCGGCGGCCCCGCCGCCGGCGTTCGACGTTGAGCGCCGGCGGCGACCCAGAATGGGTCGATGTTGAACGATCTGACGTCTCGGAAACGGCCGATCGCTCAAGGTTGAAGGATCCCCGTGGTGTCAGGAACCAGCGCCGGGGTCGACGCGACACGAATTTGCCGTACTGCGAAGGGGGGGGGGCGCGAACTATGGCACGGGCGACAACGACTGCGCGTGACCAGAAAAAGGCTGCACAGCAGCATCCGCGCGCCACTGTCGCGTCGGGTGCGCAGGCTGCTGCATCCAGGCGTCGAGGACTGCGAGTCATGCTGCACCTCTTCCGGCGGACCCGTCTGCGTCAGACCCACTACTTTGGCTTCGACGCGCGCACGCATCGGGAGACGTCGCTTGGCCTCGGAGGAGGAGCATTTACAGATACCACCCACCCCTCCCTGGTTTTATTCGCCTTCGTGGGTTTCCAGGGAGGCCCGCATCGCCACGGTTCAGTCGGGCGTGTCCCCCTACAGGGGGAGCTTCGACGAAAAATTTAAAATACCCCCGAAATGATACAATAATAATCCAAAAATAGTCTGGGGACTTTTTTTTTTTACGTATTTTTGACCTTTTTGGTAGATTTTTGGGGTATTATTAATTTTTCGTCGAAAATCCCCCTGTAGGGGGACAGGCCCGACTTAACGCCACGGCTGCATCCGCCCCGAAATCCTGGTCACAGCGCACCCCGGGAGAGCTCCGGGGAGGAGCGGCATCGGTACATCGTGTGGTTTCCCCACGTGCGTCGCTCCTCGAGCCTCGAGGGTTAAGTCGGGTGTGTCCCCCTACAGGGGGATTTTCGACGAACAAAAAAAATACCCCAAAAAGAATAAAAACAAAAGAGTCCAAAAATAGTCTGGGGACTATTTTGGGGGTATCTTTGTTTCCTTTTGGGGGCATTTTTGGAATATTTTTCATTTTTCGTCGAACATCCCCCTTTAGGGGGGCACGCCCGACATAACTCGAGGGCCGAGGGTGGAGCCTCAAGCTTCGAGCCTCGCTCTCCGTACCTCCGGTGTCCCCAGGGCCACCCCTCGCCGATGCTGGCTGCGCGCCTCCCGGGGCCCAGGAGAGCGGCGCGTTCGCCCGCGCAGCCTGGCCGGGCAGGCACGGAGGTACTGTGCGGATGTACGGCGGGGGCGACGAGGGGGAAATGTTCAGGAGGGAAAGAAACACACAGACACAATTAATCGTCGATTTCCCAGAAAATATTGAAAATATGGGGAGTGGGGGGAAAGACAAAAACCCAGAAAATATAGGAACATATGGGGAATCTTTGTATTTGTGTGTCTTTATTTGTGTGTCCCAGGGCCCCTTCAAATGTGCCCAGCAGGCCTCCGACCCTGGAGGATCCCTGCTCTGACGAGGTCGGCGGTGATGTCCATTTGCCGAGCCTCAGCGGGAGTTCCACCAGCCTCAGGCCCGGGATTCCTGGTCCAGGGTCTCGTCATCGAGAGCTCCCACGTCTTGCCCAGGATCGGCGGGGCCGGGGCCGGCCAGGCAGCCAGCTCTGACGCGCCCCGAAGTCAGCCCCCGCGGAGGTAATTATAGGTCCGGGCTCGGCGGGCCCCCGAGGGCAGTCGGGCTCTGCAGGCCCGCGAGGTCGGGCTCGGCAGTCAGCACTTTCCTGCCCAGGCAGCGGGGCCGTGGCCTTCACAGTACTGGATGGGGGTGGGGGTGCAGCCGGCCTCGATTAGTGCCGTCGGACCGAGGTAGAAGGCCAAGGTCGGCTCGGGGAGGGTGCCCTCCTGTGCTTCGTGTCTGTTGGATGTTCTTGTGCACCCCGGGGACCTTGGATATTCTGTGCGTTTTGGCCAGCGGAGGGTCTCGTCTTCTTGAGGGATGTTCTTCTGCCTTAGGTTCGACTGTAGGTCGACCCTGCTAAATCAAGGGCACCCTTGTGTTCTGTCTTGGGAGGCCCGTGCCTTCTACCTTCCTATGGCAGTGCAGCCCTCGGAGAGGTCGTGTGTCCCCTCGCGTGTCCTCTCCAATCGAGCCCGACTGCAGGTCCAAGCATGTTGACCCCCCGCTCTCCCCCACCCCTTCCCCCTCCTGTCGGGTCGGACGGAGGGGGGCGACAGGGAAAGGGGGTGTTACGAAATCCGCGGCGTGCAGCCAGTCTCGGCTGTTGTCCGTCTAACATGTCCCGGGGGGGCCTCAGAGAAGCCAGCGAGCTGATTCCCTGATGGCGCCCCGTCGACGCCGGCGAAGGAGTTCAAGGTTGAATTCCGCATGGTCGAACGACGCGGAGGCACCGAGGGATGCGGTGTAACGCTACAGGGCCCGACAGACTTCAACTTTGAACGATCGGGGTTGCGAAAATTCAAGGTTGAACGAGCGACGCGGTGTCAACAAAACCTTTTTGCGCGCCCCGACACTGCGCGAACCTACCAGACCCCCCTCCGCACACACTCTTTCGCCCAACCCCCTCCTGCATCCCCGAAAGGCGAGTGCGCTGGCGCTGATGAGCGGCAAGGCGCCAGGGGGGGTGGTAGTGGAGAAGAGAGATGCCGGGAACGGCCGGGCCGTCCACAGCGCTCCGCTGAGGTTCGACGGCTCACGCGATGACGTTTGCGCGAAAGGCCGTTCGTTTTTGCAGATGTCCATCGTTCTAGATCACCAGAGAAGGACAGTCGGCAGGGGCGGGCGCGGTCGTCATCATCATCATCATCATCATCATCATCATCATCATCATCATCATCAGCAGCAGCAGCAGCAGCAGCAGCAGCATCAGCATCAGCATCAGCATCAGCATCAGCATCAGCAACAACATCATCATCATCATCATCATCATCATCAGCATCATCATCATCGGCATCATCGGCATCATCACAATCGGCATCACCATCGCCGCCATCATCATCATTGTCATTACCATCACCCGTATCATCACCATCATCATCATCACCATCATCATCATCGTCATCATTATCGTCACCATCGGCATCACCACCATCGCCGCCATCGTTGTTACATCCATGTCACCAATATCATCACCGATAGCATCATCATCATCACCATCACCACCATCATCATCACCAACAACATCAGCATCAGCATCGCAGACACGTTCATCCTCATAATCAAAACCAGGATGGTGATCATCATCATTACCAGCACCATCATCATCACCATCAACATCATCATCATCATCATCAGCACCAGCATCGTCATCACCACCACCATCACCATCACAATCATCGCTATCATCATCAACCTGATCAGCATCAACAACATCATCACCATCATCATCATCGTCATCATCATCAGCATCATCGTCATCACCCATAGATTCAGTATCACCATCATCGTCGGCATCATCGTGTGCTTCGTCATCTGTCCTCCTCCTTCCTCATCTGGTCATTTGGCTTCTCCTCCCCCTCCGACTCCTCCACGTCCCCCTCTGTGGGGGGGGGGACATAGAGAGACGGATGAGAAGCAGTTGCAGCAGCAGGGGGTATGCGGTGGGAAGATAAGGGAGGCTGGGCTGCAGAACCGCTGAGGGCACAGAGACAGGAACAGAGAAACGAGAGAATATTGAGACAGTGATGGAAGCGTGACTGGAGGGAGTGAGTGAGGGAGCAGGAGAGAGAAGGATCTATATATATATATATATATATAGATGTCTGAGTATACGTGTCTATATATCTCTCTCTATATATATATATACATAGACAGTAGTGGCCTCCGGCCAGTGCCGCCGATCCGGGGCGCGGCAGATGCCGGTGGACATGGACGACGACGACGACGACGACGACGGCGACGACGACGACGGCGACGACGACGACGGCGACGACGACGGCGACGACGACGGCGACGGCGACGACCATCGATCCCCCCCCCTCCCCCTGCTGAGCGGAGGGTGGGGGCGAAAGCGCTGACCCCCCCATGCAGAGCGTAGGCAGGGGCGAAAGCGCTGACCCCTCCCCTCCCTGGCAGAGCGGAGGGGAGGGGCGAGGGCGCAAGCGGGATGGGCGAAAGCGATGACACGATGACACCATCCCTCCCCTTTGCAGAGCTGAGGCGGGGGCAAAAGCGCTGACCCCCCCCCCCCCCTTCCGAGCTGAGGCGGGGTTGGCGAAAGCGCTGGCCCCCCCCCCTCTGCCGACCCTAGCAGAGCGGAGGGGAGGGGCGAAAGCGCTGACACCCCCCCCGTTCCCTGCAGAGCGGAGGCGGGAAGGGCAAAAGCGCTGACCCTCCCCCCCCCCCTGCAGAGCGGAGGCGGGGGGGCGAAAACGCTGAACCCCCCCTCCCCCTTGCAGACATCTACGACATATTGTCGGAGATCGTGCGGGAGGCTCGGGTGCGAAATCTCCATGTGGTGATTGGCTCCGACTGTAACGCACAAGCTGGGCCAGCTGAAGAATATGAGAGTTCAAAAATATGCGGAGCACACGCTCACGGACCAGGGAATGCCAGAGGTCAATGGTTGAAGAATTGGGCGAACGCGGAGAACCTAGCGTTGACGAATATGATGTTCAAGAAACAACCCCAGTTGTTGCCGACGTACCACAAAATCGGGCATGCCCCCAAACAGCTTGATTCTATTATGGTGTCCAGAGGCTTCTGGAGGACCGTGCGGGACTCAGTGGCAAGCTCTTGTGTCGATCTTGGCTCAAATCACGTGGCGGTGCGACTGCAGAGTGCCATTTCGACGGCACCAGGAGCAACGGGGAGAAGATCCAGTCCAAGACATCGCAAACGCAAGAGCAACCATAAGTGGCCACCACCGGAAATATATCGATACGCGTCTTGTTTGGGACATGGAAGTTTCAAAACATCTCCGGATTATTCCGTGCAGGAGAAGTCCGACGCCATCGAAAGCGCCATTTGCCAGTCCATGGCCGACGCATGCGGCGACGACGGGACACCCGCGGCAGTGCGAGAGCAAGGATCTCGATTACAAGACTTCGTAGCTATGAGAAAGCGCTTAGACGGGGACCAGTGCGACAACAGGCGGACTCAGCATGCAAATTAGGAGGGAGTTGAGGAAACAACAAGGGGCACAGAGGAAGGCTCGGATCGAACGCGTACTGATTGACTTCAAGGGGCTTCGCAACATCAAGCTGATCAAGAGCGAAAATCGCAAACAGGTTACCACGAGCATGCGCAAACCTGATGGGTGAGCAACGTACGACAGGCAGGACATTGCGGATGTGTTCGCGGACTTCTATCACGTGCTCTGTTCGAGTTTGTCGGAAGGTGGGGGCCAAGGCCGTCCAGACAAATCTCATGATGTTCAGAGGGAGCCGATTCCACTATTGGCCATGTCATAGCTAGAGACTGGACTCCGCGAGTTGAAGTATGGAAAAGCAACTGACACAGAAGGTATTGCAGCTGAGGTGCTCAAGCGGGGCGGAGGGAATCTTAAACATGCCATGTTGGGCTTGCACAGCGCTGTCATACAGCCTGGAACGGCGCCCCTGGAGAAGTGGAGGCACACCCAAATCAGCGTCATCCACAAGGCGGGGCCGGAAGACATGCCAGAGAACTTAAGACCAGTGAATTGAACACCGTTGCTCTACAAGTTATTCTACCGTTTGCTGTACAACAGGTTATGCCCAGCAGCCACCCGAGCAAGCTGGATTTCGAAGGCACCACAGACCGCCGACCATTTATTTACGTTGACGCGGATCCAAGAGTTCGCCCGGGAGTGGAACCAACCCGTCTGGGCAGCGACGCTGGATTTCAAGAAGGCCTTCGACACGGTATCTCACGAGGATATTGGGGACGCTGTGGCAGCGCAGGGTGCCCTAACGTCCTACATCTCATTCGTATCAATTTTCTATTTTGGCCAGACAGGAATTGTCAAACGGACAGGTCCAGCAAGACATTCAAGATTGAGCGAGGCACAAAGCAGGGCGATCCTTCAAGCTCGCTGCTGTTCAACTGCCTCTGGGAGCATGTGTTCAGACAGATAAAGCCGACCTGGGCTTCCAGGAAGTACGAATTGCCGCTACAGTTGGATACCGACCTGATGCTGGCGAACTTGCGGTTTGCAGACGATGCCGTCTTGCTTGGAAGACCGCTCACACTAGTCAAGCGCGTGCTGTCCAGCGTCGCGGATACAACTGCAGCTCCACTCAGAAAAGACGAAGATCATGCATCATATCGACACTCGTACACCACGAGCGACATTGGAATACACCGACGTGAACGGGCTATCCATCGATATTCTGCCGTTCGCCGGAAATCAGAAATACTTGGGGCAACTGTTCACATGTTCTGTTGCCACGAAGGTCGAAATCGAGGCGCGCACCAAGGCTGTTTGGATGAAATTTGGGATGTTTAAATCTGAGCTGACGTCCAGATCTCTTTTCTCTCCGCGACCGGCTGCGGTTGTTCAACGGAGCGATGACTCCGACTTGCATCTATGCTTCGACGTGCTGGACTCTCACGACAAGCCTTGAACAACACATTTGCAGCACACAGAAAGATGCTTCGTATGATTTCTCGAGTGCCCAGACGTCTTGCGCAGATGAACAACAGCCAGGAGGTTCACGCATCCGACTCCACATGCCCCAGTTGCCACGAATCCAGCACCAGAGGAGATCGAACTGAAGTTTCTGACACCAGCTCGGCGAGCAACAGCGATACCTGCTCAACTACTTCATGGAGCTCGAGTAACACATCCGGTGAACTCGAGCCCTGGCACGGATGGGCACAACGATCTACACATTACGGTTTGCAGCAGATGGCCGTTCTTGGGCACAAGGAATGGGTGGTTACGCAGCGAAATTACACATTCGATTTGGCACGGCAAATTGTTATGTCAGACAGACACAAATTGGGCAATGCAGCGTTGCAGTGGGGCCCAAGGTTCCAGGCGCAATCGGCACGAATATCAACGGGCAGACCCAAGCGGAGGTGAGCAGACGATCTTACCATGGCAGTATTGAAACACAGGTGTGATAGGGGTGATTGGATGACAGTTGCAGGAAATGCATTAGAATGGGACCATATTGGACAACTGTACATCTCTGGAGGCTAAGTGACCGGCGCCCCGGCGCCCACTCCCGGCCTCGCGCGCGGCCGCCCTCGTCGGGCGAACTGGGAGCTGTCCTGTCCTGTCCTGTCCACCCCCGCAGAGCGGAGCTCAAGCGAAGCTCAACCCACGCTCTTTTAAACTCACATGCCGTCTTTGAGAGGGTACCGCGGCCACCAGGGCAAATTCCGCCTCCGGCGCGGCGGGCTTGCCGTGGGTGTGACGCGGCGCCGACTGCGTTTCCATGGGGCGCGGGACGCAGGCTTGTCCGTGGTTTCGCTGTGGTGTCGGCGCTGTCCATTTGGGCGCGTCGGGAACGAAGCTGCGAGGCGACACGCGTATACATCATAACAGGCGCACATGCTTGGAAAATGCCCAGAGGGAGAGTGAGAGGGTGTGGGGGGGAGGGCGAAGAGACGCGGACGGGGATGGGATAAACCACGGGGAAGGGGGGGCAGGAGGAGAAGCGGGCGTGGGGGACTGGAGGGACG